CGTAGATCATGATGTTCTGTTAGAATCGCTGAAAACTGTTTTCCAAAATTCGCAGCGGATAGTGTACAGCATCGATTTCTGTGGAACCCAGTAGCTGTCAAAACTTTCACATTTTTACAAATAACTCGGAAATCGTAAATTTTTCAGGTAAAACGTTTGACACAAACTTAACTTAAATTTTGACGACAAATCTGAAAATGAATGAAAAAAGGGGCGGTTCCATTTAAAAAACCAAAGTTGGTAACTACCACACGTTTATGATACAGCCCGTATATTGGAAAGTAATTTTAAAATGTGGACCTTTTAAACATGAAAAACTTTCGTAGGACGTATTTTCTTGTAAAGTTCATATTTACTGAGATATCGCACTTTGACGCACTAATGAGCAACCCTGTATATGATATAAAAGTCAGGCTGGGTCAGTAAGGGTGACATAACTCACGTTTAATGATGTTTATCAATTTCCAATATTTTCAGTTCAGTTAAGGCAATTTACAACAGTCTTGACTGTGAAAGTAGGTTTACTGTTTTGATAATTTGATTATTTACGACGATGCGATACTTCGATTCGATACGAGTACTTTATTTCGATACCAAGTATTGGTATCGAGAGAACGATTCAATTACCAAAGTACTCGGTATCGAAACAAAAGTATCGAATACCTACTTGTATTTACTTGTATCGAATCATCCCTAGGCCTAGGTAGAAGCCGAAAACCCGCTTTTTCTAGTGTTGAATCGCATTTAAAGCGCGGATTTTAAACACCAACACCTCGATTGGACGATGCTCATTAATCGGCTCACCTTGATCGTATGAATTCTTCCTGTTTATTCATGAACAACAAGAAACGTCACCAAACCGCAAATTTGCTTAATAATTAGTCGGAACCAAATCGGGCCATCGCAAGTCCTCATTGTGCATTCCCGACCAGCAAACCGCGGCTCCCCATCCGAGGCGTGCCCCCCATATGTCCCCTTCTAGAAACCGAAATCGAACTTTCCGCGACGCTGGCTAAGAATTACCTTACAGGTAGTGTATTATTGTATAACCTCGACCAAAAGTCGCGTCCTACAACTCGTTTCAGTCCGTGGTTCGCGTGTGCATTTCAATTCGAACCAGGTACTGAAGATTTTCAATGAAAAACTAGTGCGAAGTGCTTCAGCAAGTGAGTGCAAATTTGAAATTTTTCTTCGACTGTGTCTTCGGCCCATTGGAATAATCGCCGGCATCCATGTTTTGACGCCACTAACAGGAGCAGTTGGTGCAAGCAAGAGGAATCGTCTCACGGTTAGTTGAGCCATTTGTTTTTCTGCATTCGGCCAATCTGCCTACTCCACTGGTCGATGATGACGCTCAGTGTTGATGATCATCCGCAAAGTTGTTCGGCAGGCAACGACAACATTCAATGCATTCAAGCTGACCATTTTGTTAAAAATAGACTGTGATGTCATGCGAGATGGACTTTTGCAATGATAATACGCAAAACCATTTTACGATTGATTGATTGATTGATCTGCAAATCCTCTGGTATGCAGCATACGGGGTGTGCAAGTGAAAACTTTCTTTTTAAAGTTGTTTATTGCCGGATGCCAACTTATTCCAATGACGATGAAAAGATCAAAATGTTGTCGGCACCTTTAAAGAAACCGATCATTGGTAAAAACGCATATTTTGCAATTTGATTTTTGCTCACAGGGTGTTTGACAACTAAAGTGCTAAACCATAAATGATTTTTGCCTTGTGATATTCTTTTTTTGAAGAAGCATTTGTCCGAATGAGCCAATTTTGCGAGCAGAGGCGAAAAGCTTCTGCTCTCGCAGCTAATTTACACAAAATTTTTCTTTTTGCACTCCCATTAAAGTCTCGGAGAGTCCCCCGCAATTTGCCCCAACATTTTGTTTCATTCCTTACCCAAAAACTAACGCTTTAGATGTATTTGATGCCCTGAGTTCTTCCAGATTTGCTTGAAAAATGGAAGGTAAAATATCGCACAGTGGTCTGTTGGCCAGAAGTCCGGAAGGCCACGCGGCTCGTGGAATGCAGATAAAAGGCAACGAAGACGTGTGGGTGGAAATCCAAGCAAACACATTTAGAAATTGGGTCAACGAACACCTACCCAAAGATCTTCGGATTGTGGATCTATCAGAGGTATTAATATTCTTCTATCTGGTGCATTGGGTCATTTGCTTGCTCTGTGCACAAAGGAACCGTAAAGTTTTTGCTGCCATCAATGAGTACAGAGCTGTTTTGCCTAAGTGATCAATTACTGTAGGATCTAAGAACTGGAGTGCGATTATGTGCCCTGGTGGAAGCTTTGCAAAAACGCCCCTTAAAACCAGGATGGAACAAAAGGCCCGCCAACCAACATCACTACCTCGAAAACGTTACCACCGCATTGAATGCCATCGAAAAAGACGGCGTCAAGTTAGTAAATATTGGTGAGTCTGTTTCCTTTTCCAAAAACCAGCTGTTTTTCCCGTACCAGCCAACTCATTTCGCTCAAGAATATTCACAAAGTTACCTCATCTTAAACCTTGACGTGCAGCCAGCAGGTTGAATCTATAAGCAATTATTAATTTTGGAATTGAATGTGTTGATAACGCGATTGAGCGCGCTTTTCTGCTTCTAAAAAGGCGTTTGTGAATTTTAATCAGAGCGTAGGAACGCTGTTGCATCAATTAGGAGTTTTCTTTCGACTCGATTGGTGTAAATTGATTGTTTATTGCCGCTTTTCACAGCATTAAAACCCGTTTGCTCTTGTCTCAGTTTAGGCAAATTCAACTGTCCAGGAGCTTTTCAAATGCAAACATTTTGCAGCTGTGAATGTTTTTACTGTTCCACTAATAGCTTTTTTGCATTGTACAGATGCTAAAAAACGACACAGCTTTTGCCTTCGCAGCTCGGTTTGGTCAATTGTGCTTAAAATTCCAATGCAGGCTGATTTGCTAAGTTGGTAATTGATGTCACGGCTTAAAGATGTCATAAAATAAAAATCATTATTGTTCAACCACTCAGACATGCGTTGAACCTTTTAGTCCTCTGGTAGCGTCAACTCCCAAAGCTCTGGAAGCGTTTGAAGTTGCAAAAAACAAAGTGGTTGATGCAAATCGCGCTATGCAAACTCGAAAACTCCAGTCACTTTAAAGAGGTGCAACTGTTTGAAAAAATTCTCAGTGATTTACTTCAGCACATGCGATTTCCAAAGTTCAATGACTGATGTGTTATCTAAGAAAGTCGATAGGTGCGCCACATAATACATGCGTTTCTCTTTTTTACCGCCGCTATCATAAGCACCGTACCAAACAATTACTCATTAAAACTAATAGGTTTTTAGGCCGTCGTTCGGTAGAATTTATTCCTGACGTTTCGCAAGCACGAGTGGCTTGCATCTTCAGAAGTGGTTTGCTTGAACGCTTACACTGTTCTCATCAGAACCCGTTCAGTTATTCCGCAGAATTCAAATTCGGACGAACGGAACGAATGAAAATGAATAATTGCCGTGTACTAAATGAGGTAACGACGCATCCTGAAGGAAGCAAACGTCCGATTGTTTTACGTACGTAGGCGCGTTATCTCATCTAAAATAATCCAAATATTAATTTTCTTTCGTTTCGTGCGTCCGATGCGGACAAATACGCGCTTACCATAAAGTGAAGACAAGGTAAACGCATTAAGCATGCTTGAAGATGCGTCCACTTCGTCCTTTGGCTACGGTACTTTGGGCGCGTTTAAAATAAAAATTAATTTTTATTCGTTCCGTCTGTCCAGTGCATTGTGAATGAGATAAATTAAAGTATGCGATATGACATCTTATTTAAAACAAAATCATTTAAATGGCTAAACACACATACCTACATACGTAAGTATCGAACGAATTGCTAATTGTAACCGGTATATATTGAGCAAAGTTGTACCTGCTATTAAGCTGTTGTCCATTTAGACCATTACCATCGTCGGAACGCTTGAAAACAGTGAGAAGAAGTCCAAAGCGATCATCAATATCCCGATAAGCACCTTAATGTAAAATTGTTTGTTGTGATTGGCTAATCTGACATTGAGTCGACAGCAACGTCAGAAAATTGTTCAAAGTAAAAATTGCGCAAATTTTCCCAAATAAAAACACTTCCAACCAGGAAAATGCCCCCAAACCATGCGCAGAACCATTATTTTCCAGAAAATCACCACTTTCCGCAAAAAAACCGAAATAACATGAAATCATTCTCGAATCTTTCGGAACAAATCTCGCAACTTCCGTCCAAATCGACTTTAAGCAATTGACTAATTTGACATAATGACAGGAATTGACATCAGTTTCAAACCTTCAAGGCTGTAAAGTTTCAGTCATTTTGACGCTATAAATAATAAAAAATCTGATGTTTACCGGAATGTTTTTCAGTTCTCTCTCAAAAAATATGATATGACGGTCCAAATGGTATATCATAGACTTTCGAGTCCATTCATTGAAACTAATGGGTTTTTCGGGTTTTTAGGCCGTCGTTTGGTAAATTTTTTTCCTGACGTTTCGCCAGCACGAGTGGCTTGCATCTTCAGAAGTGGTTTGCTTGAACGCTTACACTGTTCTCATCAGAACCCGCGTTCAGTTCTGCGGAAGAAGCAAACCACTTCTGAAGATGCAAGCCACTCGTGCTGGCGAAACGTCAGGAAGAAATTCTAGCGAACAACGGCCCATAAACCCATTAGTTTCAAGGAATGGTCTCGAAAGTCTATCTCTTTTGATAATTACTCATTGGTCCAACTGTTAATGACTGCATTACAGCACTCGCACTATAAAGGCGCTATTTGCTGCTTCATGAACGAACACTGGGGAACTGTAAGGAAAGCGTTAACAAAATGCGCCTCATTTTTAGGCAACTTGGACATAGTGAATGGTAATCTCAAGCTCATTCTGGGTTTGATATGGTCGCTGATTGTGCGATACCAAATCGGCCGATCCAAATTTCCGCCTCGGAAGCTGATGCTGGCGTGGTTGCAGGCTGTTCTTCCCGAATGCAAAGTTTCCAACCTGACTACGGACTGGAATTCTGGAGTGTTACTTTCAGCTTTGGTGGATTACTGCGAGCCCGGCCTGTTCCCGCATTGGCGCCGTCTGGGTAATCCAACTAAGCTCAGAAGTTAACGGTGTTTCATCAATCTTCCCCCAGATAAGGGCAATGCGATCGAAAACTGCCGCAAAGCAATGAACATCGCTCAGAAGGATCTGGGAATTCCTGCTGTACTGGAGCCCGAATATTTAGCCTCGCCCTGGCTTGACGAACTGTCCGGAATGACCTATTTGTCCTACTTTATGAAGCCTGGATCGCCGGGTTTCCATGCCACCTTGAGATGGGTCAATTCCAGACTAGAGCGGCCAGTCCAAAATTTCACCGTACGTCTATTTTTCCCGTAATTGCATGCAATTACCCGACTTTGCGTGTTCATATAGAGCGAATGGAACGATGGCCGAGTGCTCAGTGAAGTGATCCGGTCGTTGGGCGGCTCGGCTGCAGCCCCGGAGAAGCTCAGAACCGATCCGGCCTTTTGGGAGCACAACCAAAATCAGGCGCTGGATGCTGGAAAGCGACTCGGTAAGAGCAGGAAATTCACTTCGATGCAACGTTCTGAGTTTGTCTCACCAGGTGTAAAGCCGGTGCTGTCCGCTAAGGACTTGGCGGATAAGAACGTGGAACACTTGGGAGTGATGGCGTATGCAGCTCATTTCCAGTGGGTTCCTGAGCGCCCTCCACTTCACGACCTCATCAATGTTTTGCTGAATTCCACTTCAGGGAGAGTGGGGGAACCGGTGAGTTGCTAGGAAATTAGTTGATAAGACCGTCTGTGTAGTATCGAATCGAGTTTCCTGTAAAAATGTGCTTTAACGAAAGTTGTTAAGTTTCTGACCTCGGCCGCCCAGTATATTCGGCACAACCCAACGATGAACACTCAAGGTATTGTTGATAAAGTCGTCAAAACACCGGCTATTGTTTCAGCTTATTAGTATTCACTTTTCGCACTTCCTTTCGGATCAATCATTCTGGGTGTTCACTTTGAAATAGCGCAATTCATCGCTTTAGTGCGTTCGATTAGTCGCTGGCGCTTTGCGAATTTCGCGTCTGGCGTTCATCATAAGGTAATTTCAATAACAAGTATGCCAAGAATTACTTAGTGTTTTTGTTACAAACTTCTTGTTGGGTATTTCGCCTCAAAAATTTTTGTCTTTAAAAAGGACAGAATTTCGTCACGTCTTTTATTACAGATTGATAAATAGGAGCACTATTTATTTTTTTATTTTTTAAAGACAAAAATTTTTGAGGCCAAATACCTAATCAGAAGTTTGTAAAAAAATGAATCCGCCTCCACAATTCAAATTCAAAATTTATTAAAAATATATGTGTAAACAGAAAATTATTTGTCAATTTACAATTCATATAATGTAAAAATTATTTGTTGAGTACCTAGATACCTTGTACCTGTATGTACTCTTGAGGTTACAATTTTTTTTTTATATCAGTAATCATATTTTTATTTTCTGTCCTGGTTTACCAGAAATCCACATAGCATACCATACATGTATATTCTTACCTAAAACTAGCAACTTAAAACATTTTCCCGAGAACTCAACTTTTGAGAAAGTATCTGAACAAATGTGTTCCTGTGAATAGTAATATATTCTCTGGATTTTTTATTAAATAAATTGAAGTTATTTATTGATCTTATTATACTTGGCAATGAATTATACAATTTTGGGGCTAACTAATTAAGAAACTTAAGATGAGTTGTTCGATTATTTTTTTCAGGTAGAGCAAGAAAGTTGTTAGATTGTTGTCTTATGTTGCGGTTATGTTTTACATATGTTTGAGTATTTTTCTTCTTATGGGTAAATGAGCATGCTGAATGTATGTATAGCAATGATATGTAGCTAACTTCTTTGTTATACAACTCTCTAGTAGGATATAGTTTGTCCTTTCTGTAAATTATTCTTAAAATATAATTTTTAACAACTTTTAATGGTCTTAAATTAGATT